AGATTATTGTCTTTGATTCTTTTGTTTAGGGTTTGGGAAAGATTTCCTACCTCTTGAATTGTAGGATTTGGGAGAGATCGCCTACCTCCCAAATTGTAGGTGTTTATATTTATGTATTCAGAATTGTGATCATTGATTTGCTTTCGGCGGAATGCAATATATTCATTTATGATATAATTTCTCTTAAAAATGTTCTCTGTTCCTATCAGATTTTTCTATATTGAACTGTGCCACGTTGCCTAAATAGTGAGGTTGTCATATTCATTATTAATCTGATTATAATTTGTGAATCATAAACCTCGAGTGTTGTCATGCGATTGTATTTGTCTAATATGATAGTATAAGACTCTACAACTAGCATTATGCCAACTTGTTCTTCCATGTGTCAGAGGTGCGCTTCACACCATTATATAATTGCGGTCATAATGATGTTATGAAATTTCTTTTGTATTTGAGTGTCATTGTCATCCGTAATTTTGGTACATGCTGATGTGGTATTCATAATTTTAATTGGTAGATATGAAATAGTTTTATATACGTTACTATAATAAACTACTATGTACTTTTTAAGGGTGCCTTTAATTTGCCCTTTTCAATTGACCTTTTATTTTCCTGATTACTCGCAATAGCTCTTTCGCACACGATGACTACATAAGCAAATAGCTAACCAGAGGACACATATTACATGTTGTAATGCGAACAACTTTAGGTTGTATTATTTATTCATTTATTTATTTGAACAATATTTCATGCACATCCGTGCAATCAATAACACCACTAACTTCTTTGAAATTGGTTTGAAATGTTTTGTTTGCCACAAATATGTAGATGGCAAAGCTAATCAATTTTATTTTGGCCTAAGGCTTACAAGGGCCTGTAAAATACAATTCAACATGCTGCTATCTATAGGAAATGTTGAAATAAGTGAAAAGCTCTAGTTTTGCTCCATGAATAATCCATGTCATTCGGCCTGTGCCATTGCCTGAGTGTCCATTTAAACTTCATTTATCTCCAAAATTTTCATTAGTTAGATAAATGTGTAGGAAGACTTCTGAAACATTGCTATGGCCTTGCTTGATGATTTGCGAGAACATCAAAATAACATCCCAGGTTTGGTCTGTTGTATATGGCTTGCTGTCTCCCTTCCCGTTAAAGTTTCGTTAGCGAAAGATAAATAGATTTCTTTCTCTATGGGGTCACCATTTTCTGTGCTATTGATGAAGTTTGTTGCCATATCTTGAGATAACTACTCCAAGCGCTCATCTGAGTTAAACTCTTAATTTATTTGTAAATGTTGTGAGGCAACCTAAAGTATAATTTTAGCATAAAACATAACAATGGCCCACACAATATGAAAACATGACTAGTTTTCTCGTAATAAATATCCAATACTTTTGATTCACAGAGCATAGTAGTAATTTGACAAATTTTTCTTGGAGCTTCTGTCTTATTGCTCCATCTTATTTCACCTTACAAGAACTTTGCTTGAAAATAGCATTACGTATTAGGACTTTTTCATCATCAAGGAATACATACCATGTTGGCTTATTTTTTCAAGTATCCTTCAGCACTTTTATGGTCTATTAATATTGTGGGTTTTTTATTTGTCTCCATTGTGATTGGGAGATTTTGAATGAATTAACAATTACTTAGGATACAAGGTATTGCCCTCGTTGCTTTTTTTTAAAAACAATTTTAACGTGCTTTTCACACAACCTTTTATTCTTTTTGCCTACTAAGTTAATTCTTGTAGTACTCAATCATTCTTTCTCAAAGTGAATAAAATTGAAATGGAGATATTTTCATTACTTTTTATTTTTGCAAATTACCTTTGCTCAAAACTCACTTCCATGTTTAAATTTTATTTTGTAAATAACCTAATTGATAATTCAATATCCACGTGATTATTTACTTTTTTAACTTGATTTTTCTATTTTTATCCGAATTTTAACATCCCTTTATCCATGGATTTTGTGAGAAAAGCGCACATTCTCCAAGTATTTTTCATCTTGTTGCTCATTGGGATTTCTTTGAAAAACTGCTCTCTCTAATGTCTCATTTGCTTAAGCTTTTCCTTTTATAAAAGTTTATTTAGAAATGGCTTTTTAAAAAGTGTTATATAGTCGTACTTTCAAAAGTTGATATTAATGTTTGGAAAACTTGCTTTTTTGGTAGTTTTATGAACCCAAAAACTCTTAAATACATGTTTGGTCAAGCTAATAGTGGTAGCTTTTTCTTAAAGACTAAAATGCTCTTCTTTGTAATAAATAATAAATCTAACTATTTTTTTTTATTTCACCAAAAAAAGAAGAAGAAGAAAGGAACTGTAGGAAAATAAAAAAAATTATAATTACTCCTTTTTACTTACCGTTTTGAGATAAGTTATATGACATTTTACAAAAAAAAAAAAAAAAAAAAAGAAAACAA